TTCCGTTACTTCTGTACTTTCTTTATACATCATTTATACTCTGTTCCTGGAGATATAGTTTTAATCCACCTTCGTTAGCTTGAGGAAAGCACATAACTGCATGACAGAGCAAGTCGTCACTTGGGATCCTCAAGACCGAACTAAAGGAGGAAGATCAAAGAACGCATTACGTCGAGAATCGGAGACAGACATGAAAAGAATGAACGGCTATTGGATAGGACTGGAAAAAAAGGCCCAAGAGAAAGTTGGCTGGAGGATTCTGGTGGGCAGCCGACGACTATTGGTTCACCCTGAACTGTTCATCCAAATAACTACATTTATCTCACTTCATCATCTGCGCAATTCGACGCGCACACGCAGATTTTTATTATTTTTAACTCCACTATTGTATGTCACAGTTTACACAAACTTAAGATTTCATAAAGAATCACTTTGACCGAAATTGATTTGGTAATGAAATGCTCAAATCAATCATGATTTTGATTGTACAAACAATATTTCTTCTTTTTGTTTTACTATTTAAACTGGTGTTAAATAATTTAGATCATTTATGTATTTATTTTGAAAAAGTTATTTGTATGACTCCCCATAGTCTAACATAGCATACCACGTCCAACAGGGAGAGGCCATAGATTATCTCGACGATGACTTTGAAAGATTACAAAAACAGTGTAAATAAAGATACATATTAGGCCCTATAAACCTTCAATTAGTGAAAGTTGGTGCAAAAAACTTGTTGAGGTACAATATAAAAAAGTAACTCTCAGACAGCAATGCTGCAGAGTATAAATTCCATTTATCAATATATTATCCAGTAATGCCAGAATAGGTGTAAAAATGATTCTCGACAAGGTCGTGCGCTCTTCGAATTTGACGTGGCATCTCTGACTTCCCTCCATTTACGGGAAACAATCCATTTTCGGACTCTAAATTGGGATATTTATTCACTCCTAAAGCCAGAAATGTTGCCTTCATCCACTAGTCGACAATCTGAGTACAATTTCGGGCAAACGGAATCATTCCAATCCAGAACCACTGTGCTGTAGGTCTAGCTGCCTCGATCAACTGCTCTCTTTCCAGTTGCTTTGACAGCATATACACATTCACTCACTCACAAACACAGGACTTGTGGACAAGTTACTGGATACACGCGAATTTACTTACTAGGACGGTCAAAGATAAAGTTTCAATTTCGGAGTACTTTCAGGCTCTATTCCTTGTACTTATATTATATACTAAATTCTTCATTCTTTAATTCCTATTTCGTGTATTTCGTGTCTTAATTATCTCGGCTTTCACCTCTAAATCTCTCTAGTATCATGTTTAGTAATAATGTTGCAAGCACATCTTACAATATAACAACCGCGATAACCTGAAGAGGTATGAACCACGAGGTTAATAGTGAGTCGGAAATTCCAGTCTCGTGCCACCAGGATGTGAAAAAAAACTCAAACGGTCACTTTAAAGCATTCTTCATATTAGTGTCCATACTTCGGATCACTCAAATCAAACACCACTAGGTCTCAAACAGCGAAAAAAAGACATCACTCCTCCGAATCCTATTCCTAAAACGACCTGTAGGCTAGTGAGTAATAAGAGAAAAAGGCGTCTCAAGGCTCAGTCGACACCGTCCGTCGCCCAGAAACCGCATAAAAATGACTGTTTCGCCTGCCCATTCCCAGTCAAAATCAGTGACTGCTTTTAAATGCATTTTCCGTAGTACACGGGTCCATTTTCACGGAGACACTACAGTACCTAAAAAGTACTATGGATTCATGCTGAGTCACTCCTGTCCGTGGTCCTAATATATCTGCTCAAGGAGTATCTGAGGCATTGGCGAAGACACAGGCCCCGTCTAAAATCAGCTCAAAAGTCTCAACGGTCAAACCAAAATACCCTGGCACTAAAGTAGTAAAACAGGTCACCAGGGCAACCAGAACCCTAACTAACGCACTGACAGAACTGCCGGTTGTTGTAGATCCCCCATTGTCTGTTAACAATACAGAAAAGTAGGCGAATGTAAAGAAGGGGAATGGCAGCACCACAACTCACAAGCGGCTACCACTCAAAGACAGGGACGATAGAATAAATTCACCTATTTTATTTAATGTCCCAGTATCGGAAGGAAGCTGGCTAGAAGGTAGGTCTGCTTTTCACTAAGAACAGTGGAATAAATACTGAGCAATCCTCGGAATGTGCGATACCCGCCTTTTCAAAGGCCAGAATGCCTCGTAAGGGAAACCCCCTCCAATGAGGGTAACCCTAGACTCGGCGGGACTCGCTGAAGACATCCTCCTCTCACCCCAAAGACCATCGGTCAAATCTTCCCCGCCGATTCACATCAGGCATGGTAAGCGGCTGTCGATATGAGCGGCAGCCAGGAAAACACCAGGCATTCAAGAGCAGGCCACCATGGTAGTTTACAGCGTTCTCGATCTCGATGGCGGTAGCCGCGACGAAGCTCACGTGCACGATGTGCAACAGTGGCGATGGCTATCAAGTAGCCTAAACCTTCACACCACGATGACTCTTTGCAACTCTAAGTTCCCCCACCCGTCACACCTCAAGTTCGTCAAGTCACCACGTCTGATGTCCGTGACATCCAGCAACCGCGAAGACCTGAATGAGGCACTCCAGGATTGGTAAAGTTCTGAGGACGACCTGTCTAACCACATCAGTTGTTGTGAAAGCCGACCTAGATCTGTGAGACAACAGCAGGGACGCAAAAAAATGACAGTTGACCTCGATCAACAAGGCATGACACTTTCGAAGCGAAGGGCACACCAAACAGGAGGCGGAGTGGCTATATATATAAACAGTCACTTAAAAGCAGTGCGGCTATACGACGTCCAACTAACTGAGGTGACTTGATTGGAGGGATTTACCGACCTACCTCAGGTACTAAAACCCAGAAAGACAAACTGACTGAGGCAATACTGCAACCGCCACTCCTGGCGTTTGATCAAATACTATTAGCTGGAGATTTCAATACCCTATCTCTAAATCTCAGCACTCAGGGTACAACTCCCACCGGTGAGTTCCAAAGACGGCTTGGCGTAGCCATTAGAAGCTCTGGGCTTGCCAAGCACGCATGCAGTGCTACTAGATTGACTTGGGAAGGAAAGTCCTCAAACCTGGGTTATTTGTTAACAAATGATCGGCTCCTCGTTGAGGATGCTCAAGTCCGTACACCGATAGGCAGTAGTGACCATGGCACAGTCTTGTTTAACAGGGTCATAAACGAAACACTCACACAGGACGAAAATAAGCCCGAATGGGGAAGACCTCACTAACCTAAGGGATGGTTGAGATCTTCAACACAAACTTTACCGATCAGTCAAACCAGGCATTCACATGTCCAGAATACTACGCAAACCCAGTACCAGCTGACGGCTTAGGAAATATCCGTATCACTCCTGACTTGGTAATAAAATCCTTAGGCCCAGAGAGGTCACCAGGTTGTGACAATATTCGTCCCACTGACCTGAAACAATGTGCAGAAGTCCTTTGTTCACCGATATGTGACCTGTTCAGACATTCACTGAAGTCACACCAACTCCCAGCTGAATGGAAACAAGCTACTCTCTCCAAGCTTCAAAGGAGGACACGGAAAGGACTCAACGTGTTACAGACCAGTGGCATTACTACCATTAATATCAAGTTAACGGAAGGGCTGGTGGACGAACAAATGGGGGGGTTACATGGATCAAAATAAAATACACAATGAAGCTCAACACGAGTTTTTGAAAGACAGGTCATGTGACAGCATGTGACAGCTAGACATTCTGCTTGGACTGAAAAATACCGGTAAACGTAATATTTCTCGACTTTGGAAAAGTCTTTGACACAGTACCCTACGCACGCCTAATCGCAATACTTGTGAAAATGAGCTTCACTGACCCACTCGTATCTTGGCTTAGAAAATACCTTGAGGAAATAGAAAGTTTCGTACCAGGGTAAATAGAGTGCGCGCGAACTGGCAAGTATCCACATCGGAAGTTTCACAAGGGACCATCTTAGGTCCACTTCTCAACCTGATATTTATTAACCACCTGTTAGGCTCAGTTAGCTCACCAGCATTGATCTGCACAGACGATGCGAAGATCTAGAGGTCCATTAGAAGCGAACAGGATTCGACTGAGATTCAAAAGGACCTTACATCTATTGAGAAATGGGCAGTGAAAAACGGTTTAAAACTCAACCAACCAAAATGCCACGTCATGCATATTCTGCCTCACACGACGCAAACGATCTATACCCTAATGGAAGTCCGCTCCTTGATGTCTCCTCGGAGTGCGAACTCGGTTTAGTAACCACAGACAGCCTCCACATCAGCTCGAACCATATGGGGGACTCAGCCAAGGCAAATGCGACTCTTCACTTAATACGAAGACAACTTGGTGCTGTTACCCTAAAATTATTATTAAGATAGGCGCGTCCACACCCGGAGGTTCACAACAGCAGCTCATGCCCCTTGCTTAAAAGAGACAAAAATCTCGTGGATCGAGTGTAGAAACGAGCAACCAAATCGGTGATAGGGTTGAAGAATAAACCTTAGGAAGGACACCATCATTTGGGATTATTCGCATTGAGTTAGAGAGATGATCTGATTATGGCGTACAGCATATTATGCACACCGAACCACCCCAAAATGGGCATCTTATCGATGCATCACCATCAGTCCTCTCGAGAGAATCCTCGAAAAATTGCACATCAAAGAGCGAATACTCAGGTTCTTGCACACTTTCTCATTGATAGTCGTTGCAACTTGGAATGCTCTCCCAGACGAGGTGACCACGGCCCACTCAGTGGACAGCTTTAAGAAGAGATTCGATGAACACTTACTCACATACGGATTATCATCTCCCTTGTGGACAAGCTGTACCTAATGTATATCTTGGGACCTGCTAGTTGTCATTGTTGCGATCTCCTCAGGCCACACCCCCATTCATTGGACACTACCGAACACCTAGAACCGTACAGAAAAAACAAGAATCGAGCGCAAAAGAAATCAATCCGTTTATACTAGCTCATGATAAAGGTATTGAATATTAGATATTGAAGTGTGAAGGGGAAATCATCTGATGAGGCGGCTATTCCATTTTTAAAGTTGTTTTACCCGATTCTACTGGCGCTCTGTAATCGAATTTTCCCTATACGATATGGGTGAGTATGCTGAAGCAGAAGATATCGCTAGGAGACGCTTAGCAGAGGAACGGAAAGCATGGCGCAAAGATCACCCCTTCGTATGTCAACTAAATATTATTGTTATTTCTTAAGGGATTTGTCGCGAAGCCTGTTAAAAACCCTGACGGCTCGCTCGACCTAATGACTTGGAATTGTAGTATCCCTGGAAAAAAAGGTGTAAGTTCCTCAATACACTTCTCCAAAGGTACTGTAGACTTTGTGGGAAGGAGGTTTGTTCAGTCTCAAGATGTCCTTCAAGCCGGAGTATCCAACAACACCTCCAAAATGCAAGTTTGAACCACCTTTATTCCACCCTAATGTATTTCCATCTGGTACCGTGTGTCTTTCCCTCTTAGACGAAGAAAAGCACTGGAGACCAGCAGTTACAATCAAACAGGTATCTAAAGGAACTCAATTCCAACATATATTAAGATCCTTTTAGGCATTCAAGATCTATTAGACCACCCCAATCCAAAAGATCCTGCTCAGGCTGACGCTTATACTTTGTTTATTCAAAACAGAAAGGAGTATGATAGCCGAGTTAGGAAGCAAGCCGAATCTTTTAGAAACCCTAATTTGTGACTGACATTTTTGCAAGATATGAGATAACATATTTACATGTAAATACATACTAATCTTAAATTTCGACCATTCTGAACCATTCGCGTCCTATTCATGTGCTAAAAAGCAATTAGTTTTAAGGTAATATTTTTGATTAAGTCTGTTGGTATTCTTAGTATTGTAGGAGGAACACAATGAATCCCGTCAACTGTCTTGTGATGTTAAACCCGTCATCTTTCCTATCCCACAGTAACGAAGTAGTTCTTCATGGGTATTGGATTACCGAATCTTAGCTTACTTTTATATCATAACTTAAAGATGCCTCAGTAAATATTGCCGCTGTATTGCTTAATCTGTGGTCCTGTAATAAATGAATGTTCCTCTGAAGCTACCTGTGATCAGACGCTAGTTACCTACAAATGTTCTTTAGTAGCCATGTTTCGTACCCATACAGTAGAACCGAGCGAGCTGCATCGTAGTAAACTATTCCTTTTTTTAGCTGACTGATGCTATCCTTGCGCCATGAGCGACAAACCAAAAGCCAGTCGATGATTTTGTGTGAGCCGAGATCTCGTCTTTACCAGACCATCAGGACTAATAAGAATTCCAAGATAAGTAAGGCGACTGACACCCGACCTCTTCACACCTGTCATCAGTTCAGGCGCTAATGCAAGCCCATCCAGAAGCAAAACACCTCGCATTTGTGAGGAAATCACATCCCAAACATGCATTATTGCTTAAGGTGATCAGAAGAACGTATCCTGTCAGCGTCTTCATCAAGCAGGACTGTGCATATTCTTAGTCAACAAATAAATCTGATGGATGGTCAACTGCTTTAAAGTCAGCGGATGGGACTTTGAACATTTGGTCAATACATCCACTTCCGGGTCCGAAACCAGCCTGATTTTCTTGATTCTCTTTCCAAGTTCTGGTTAGACGTAATAATATTACTGAAGTTGACATTTTAAAATGATTCCCATGCGACTGTCACAAGAGGACTTTTTGCCTATCATATAGATGAATAAGTGCAGTCGAATGTGATTCTTGATAAGACCAGTTAATTCACTAACAAAACTGGACCACTATCTTCTAGGACCTCAGAGATTGATCTATCGCATCCTGTTCTCCCAGCATTAGATTACGTGCAGCTTTTTAAACTTCATTTAGAGTCGAGGGATTTACTCTGATTTACCATTCGGATTGACTGAAGGGCGTAGGTAATCGAGATGTGGCTGACTGCCGGTTAAACTGACCCCTAAGGCGTTTCATCCATTGACCCTACTATGTTTCTTTGATAAGTCTGGACAGTCATCTACTGCTACCTTTGTCTTTTCCGTCTCTTTTGCTTTCGTCACTCACTACCCCTCTCGGACCTTGCTTAGGCTTCACATATGCCTGAGCTTAGGCTGTCTCCCTCTTCATCGTGTTCACCGACAGACGGGATGAGTCTCCGAACATCTATCAGTTCAGTAGATTTCACTGAGATCAAATGATTTTCCCTAATCCTCTGGCTTAACTTACTTGCCGTTATCACTTGTTTCCAAGCTGCCCTATAGTGCGAATCACTTACATAACTGTCAATATTTGCTCTGGACACAGTTTCGGCTACCTTATTGTTCAGTAGAACTTAAACGGACTACCTTGCTGTCTTTCTTATGTCTGGTAAACCGCAAAGTAGAACATGCCCGCACTAGATCATGGTGTTAGCTTTAATATATGCTTCACAATGGGTCGCAGCTTGTCATCGAACCTCTCTATTGTTGACTAAATGCGGCGTGGTCTTTTCGGTTAATCATTGAGTGAATCTTGGGAGTTGTTCAGTCCCCTTACGCTTAAAGTTGCTAGGTTTTCTGAGCACAGCTACAGCAGGCTGTCAAAACTAGCTGTAAGATGAACCACGACACTACAAGATCCACCCATAGGTCTCTTAGTTTCGCTTAGTCTATGTCGGCATCAAAATCAAAAGTTATTATAATTTAAAGCGTTCAGTTTTCTGGTGACTGGGAAGCTATCAACAAGATTCATCCTTCGCCCTACCTGAACTGCCGTTGGTAGGAACGTAGGTAGAGTCAACGTCGAATGTTATACCGGCGGGGCCACAAGAAGTAGTAGTTAGGTCTTCAGTTACAAGAAGAGTAAATCAAATCGGTTCTTCATTTTGACGAGATGAGTTCAAATGATTCATGTATGCACGTTTTGGACACGCAGCATGCATCGGCTGTGCGAGATTCTAGAGTCATACTGAAGAAGCCTGTTTTCTTAATTAACACAATGCTTGGATACTAAGAGCTCCAGCATTTCGTCGGCTTGCATCACCAGTATCAGCGATGCGGGGTAATGAAGATTCACGAGAATGGTCGTGAGAATAACAGAATTATCAGGAGGTAGGGGAAGGATCCAGGCATGAACAAGTTGGTCGCAAGTGCTGTTAGATGCATGAGGGCGTTTGTTCACACCGCTCAATGGTATTTATTCAGGGACCTGGAAAGTTGGGCTTAAGTTACCTCAGTGACATGGAAGCATGACCGTGACGAATAATTACCTGAGGCCTGTGGCACATGGTCCTTTGTGGCAAGTATTTAACGCGTTGGCTCCGCTCTTCAAAAGGCCATATCTCCGGAGATGAATATCCATGGGATAAGTTGCGGGTTGACATTTTTACGGTCGACCTTTTCTAAACCCTTCCACTGTGAGAAGGCAGTATCGCTGTAGACGCCGGTTGTTTGAGGGTAACACCTTACTGCTGTCAAACCCCTTTACTGTCAGTAGCTTTTAGACTTTGCCGCTTTCAGTCTTATCTTTCTCCAAACGACTTGTCTGGCATAGTAGGACTCGATGGTGCGTATGATCCAACTGATGTAGCTCGTTTGGGTCGTCACGATAGGCAAACCCAACATCACGTCAGGGTAGTAGCCACAGCCGCGTATTTAAATGGAACGGGTCCTACTCTCTAGTTCACTAGTCATGTATAAAAACGGGATCGATTCTTGCTAAACCATTCGGGAATCTAAACTTATGGCTTGATTATTGTTACCATTACACGAAGCACCATACTCTTCTTCAGAATATTAGCTCTGGCGTACACAAACATCTGTGTAACTCTGTACAAGGTCTATATGTCCTCAGTTCAGTAGAGGCCTTCGACTTGGTGTGCTGAAATATGTGTTAATTAGTGGGATAGTGATAAAACATTAGAGTGGGTTACCATACCTAATTCCTCCTAAGTTTCGAAGTAATGATAGTAAGGGGTTGTGTTCTTGCTCTCTACTTATGTTCCTGCTGATGGAGTACTCTTTGATAAACTATTTCGGCCCATTATATTGTTCAAAGAATAAAAAGCAGTCCTGATTCCAAGGAACGACCTCCGTTTACAAAGTGTGAATCAACGTTACAGTATCCGACATAGTGATGTGACTAGTGCAGCTCAGACCTAAAAAACCTGGCCCGTTCTTTAAGTTTGTGATTCACATATTTCGCATAACCCGTTGTTTAAAGTTTGCTTTGGCTTTGATTTTGAAGATTTCGATGTAACAAACCTCTGAAGTTAGTACTGGTGCGTGCTACTTATAAGTAGTATATGACGAGAGTAAAAACGTAATGTCTGGCAGCAGAAGATGGGAGAAGATCAAGAAAGGAAGAGCGGGAACACAATGGGATTTGTATGAAACGCATGAACAGTGAAATGTCAGGCAATGGATTGATGTTTGCAACAGGAACAGTGCAGTTCGATATGATGGATTGGTATTTTGCAAATTAACGATTTACGATATGGTTTTCCTATTTTACCAATTAACTGTAGTTTGAGATAAATGCAATTCGGTTGCCCTCACCTGTGTTCTCCTTCACTACAGTACCAGTGGTCTACAAACCATAAACTTCATCCGATTTATACTGAAAAATTATCAGTATACCTGAAGTCAAAACTCACGACAAAAATAATTACAAATGTTTGAACATCATTTAATAACGAGAAGACATGGTATCAACTAAATTTGGGGTATGGTGGTCACGGTTTCAGGAAGATTCATGAAAGTATACAACGTATACGAAAAACTTCGAATCGTAGTTTGCAACACAAATCACAATTATAAGCTTAACTAATAGAATATAGAACAAGTATCTTTTCTAAATTCAGCTGCGGTTGGTAACACTGATTTTGTGTAACGATGACAACCAGTTTAACGTGAAATTACAACTTTCAGATATTGGTTACTATAGCTACGAATGTGTAAGTGATGGTCTATGAACTGATGTTCGACGAAATCTGAGCAGTTTATGATCAAGGTAGCATGAAATAATAAAAACTATCCAGTTTTCCAAGGTTTACATATATTAAACTAGATTTTTAAAAATGTATGAAGTTTTGGAGAAATTAAAACTAATCTTGACAAAAGTATCACTGGTGATTTTCGCTTTCTAAAAATGCACAGAAATTTTAAAACTGGTAAAGTTCAAAGAGAAATGAATAATCAATGGGTTTTTAGAGAAGTTCCGTCAACGGCTACATAGTAGCTACTAGATGGCTAAATTTATAAGTCATCAAAAACCTAACTATCTAATTGTTCAATGGATATCCAGCATACTCATCTCCGTCATCTCCAGATATCCTTTCTTCTTGTAAACATGTTGCACGAGTGGGAAATATCAAGTCATGAGAATCCTGCTGTGAAGACTCATGCTTCTCAAGTAATGATTTAGTGATGTTGAACTGGTAACAGACTGCCATAATAGGTAAGCTAGGATTAGCTAAATGAACATGGGAACATTGATTGGATTTTTTCACATTGGTAGAGGTTTCACTGTGAGCCATAATATTACCGAAAACAGGGAGAGGGGATATGGAAACTTCACGTTCACACTGTGAACACTCTTGGTAAGTTTTAAAACTGCAAATATCAAAGGCCACGCCTACTTGGCATATTCCGCAGTTGTCCATCACCGAGTTGACACACTGCTTTGGGAAATTCTGTCTGTACTTTGAATGAAAGGCCAAGAGCCTTAAAAAATGACGAATCCAACCACCATGACCTACCTACAGAAAAAATTGTGCACTTTATGGACATTTATAAGCAAACTACAATAAGATGCAAGGACCGACATAGCTTTTTAAATTTCGTTACGTGACATGATAATAAAAATAAAAGAACACTACATTGTACAGATTTTAAATTTTTATTGGACCAATGTGTTAAAGAGATGAGAAGTCATGTTTTGGTGACGTACACTTCAATCACTCGGGCGTACAGATGATTAGAAAGTTGCTTGACTATCATATCTGCGTAACATAACTTCTGTCTTGGAAATAAATAAGTTTGTAAATATTTACAGAAGAATTGAACTTATGTAAACCTCATTAGTCTCACAAATTTTCACCTTGTCAATCAGCTAGGTTTGGAACTTTCCTGCGGCTAATCTGTTGACCGTTGCCTGTAAAAACTATTACGTCAGTCGAATGCAGTTGTAGGTTGATGCTTAAAAAATCACAAACGAATAATCAGTGTTACTTCAAAAATACAAACCATTTAAATACCATTCACTTGTCTTTGTCATAGACATGCTTTTACAGATAACAAACTCCACGTCTGACTTTCAAGAGGTGTACCATCTACCAACAGACTTGCTTGTTGACTTGGAATACACTGATGACATAGTTCTATTCTGTGAAGACGCTGACAAAATACAGTCTTCCGACTACCTTAAGCAACAATGCAAGCATGTTCGGGATGCGGTTCTCCCCTTTCAAAATGCGAAATGTTTCTTCAGGATTGGCTTCTGTTAGCACCTGAACTATTGATATGAAATGAAGTGGTTTAGTGTGTCGACCGCTTTACTTATTTCGGGAGTCTCATCAATGCTGGTGTTTTGGTGTGTGACGAAATCTCAGCACGGACACAGAAGGCTCGACTAGCTCTTGCCAACTTGGGTCACTTATGGCGTAGACGAGATATCCGTTTGCTAATCAAAGCACAGGTGACTGCGGAGTAGTCCGCTCCATCCTACTTCATGGCTGTGAAACACGGCCAGTAAGAGTGCAAGTGTATCCACTCTCTGTGTTCTCCCAAATTATAATCTTCTGAATTCCTCATTACCTCTATCTTTCTCTTTCTAAATTTATTTCACTGAATTATCCCGACCGAAGCTAATACCTTGACGTGGTGGTCGGGGTTGCCTATCGCCATGACCAAACCGAGCTATATTGGCTGGAACATATGTTCCTGCAGGTCCTACCATGCCAGGCTGGTCGATTGGAGGACGATGAGACTAAAAGCAGCTACCCAAGGTCTGAGGGCGAAGTCGTACTGCTGACTGTGATGGAGGGGTGTGACAGCAGTAAGGTGTTTCCATCGGACAACCAGCATCTGCAGCGATGCTGCATTCCCACAAGGAAGGAAGGGTTAGAAAAGGTCGACCCTAAAAATGTCACACCTCACCCTACCTCACGGAATTCCGTCTCCGGCGGTAAGGGTACCCACTGAGGGCTTTCAAGAGCGGAGCTAACACTCAAAAAACTTCTCATAAAAAGGCCGTGCGTGACCGGCCCCAAGCAGTTGACCCTTGGGCTCTGCGGTCACGCTCGCAGGTCGTTCAGACCAACTCTAATCAGCCTTCCTTTTCAGGTTCTTCAAGAAACAACCTTCCACGGTGTGGGCAGCAGGGAAGTGACAACCGCCCTCATACCCGTAACATCACACGAGACCAAATTGGTCAAAATCAAATCCTTCCTACGCCCCCTAGCACCTCTTCTCATATTCCTTTATCACAGTGCACAGCTAATGAAAACGATGAGAGTTCACGAGTTTGCTCAAGTAGGTACACTGAGTGAGCAGGAGAGACACCTAGGTGGATGTTATCGCGTCGCGGCCCAGAGAACAGACAATGGTGACCGTCTGTTGCAAGTATGCTCAGACAACCGCCTATTCTTAGCGAACACTAACTTTAGGCATAAGGAAAAGCATCTGTTGACCTGGCGACCTCCAAAGTCGTCTCAACGTTGGACGCAACTCGATCATATCGCCATCAGCCACCGATGGAAAAGGCGGCGGCGATAGGCAACACTAGACAACTTTTCCGCCTTATCAAAGAAACCGGTATTGGGAACCGGAATGTGAGTGAGACTATATCGGAAAAGGATGGCTGTATCACTTATTCTCAATCCAGGAGACTGGATCGATGGGCAGAACACTTTAGGGATCAGTTCAACTGGTCTCCAGCCACACTTTGTGTGCCCACTATCCCCAGTCAACCTGAATGGCCAATCGATTTAAGTCCTCCCAGTCTACATGAAGTTGAGAAAGCTATAGGAAATCTGAAGCGAGGGCGAGCTGCAAGTCCTGATAGACTGACCCCTGAGATGTTTAAGGATGGTAGTCCAATTTTAAAAGTTAGACTGACCGAGATCTTAGGTAGAATCTGGGAACTGGACGTAATCCTATCCGACTGGTCTCAATCACTGATTGTCCCAATCTATAAGAAAGGACAGAAGTCTTCTTGTGACAATCACAGGGGGATAAGTCTAACTAATATAGTATCTAAAATATTGGCCTCAGTAATACTTCGACGCTTAACGAAAGCTCGTGAAGAGCAGACTAGAGAAAACCAGTCTGGTTTTCGACCTGGACGTGGTTGTATAGACCACATCGTCACACTACGACAGGTCCTGGAACACAGACGCACATTTAGACGCCCGACAATAGTCGTGTTCCTGGACCTAAAAGCGGCATTCGACTCAGTGGACCGTAAGGTTCTGTGGCAGTGTCTGTCAGTGAAAGGTGTACCAAAGAAGTACATTAACCTTATACAAGCTCTCTACTCGAACACCGCTGGTCGAGTGAGAGCTTATGGCGAACTGTCACCGGAATTCCTCACTTCAAGTGGTGTCCGTCAGGGGTGTCCACTTTCTCCAATTTTTTTTAATTTTATCATAGACATCCTCCTAAAAATAACCTTATCCTCGTCTGAATTTTCAGGAGTAGACCTTTTACCTGCTGGCTCGCTTATTGACTTAAAATATGCCGATGACATTGTCCTACTTGGTGAAGACGCTGACAAAATGCAGAGTCTTCTGACTACCCTAAGCAACAATGCAAGAATGTTCAGGATGCTTCAAACGTGCTTCTACAAGACGAGAACAAAGTCAGTCAGTCAGTTGCAACGTAGAACTTCGTACTTATGTACATAAGTTCATGTTGCCATACCATATTATTAGCACAGAGACGCAAATGTCAAATCAAATCCCATAGTGATAAAGATGGTAGAGGTATTAATGTTATAATAAAGAAGACTAGGGTTTAAGATATTATTCAAAAAATATAAATCAGTGAGATAAGGTTAGAAAGACAAAGGTAAAGGTGCTGACCAATCCAGAAGATTAGGGTTTGAGCGAGCTCAAATAGTGGATGCACCTGCGCCATTGCAAGCGATTTTGAGCCATGTCGTTCAAGGTCTCTAACCATCGATGACTTTCGTCTCGCGGACCCCAACCAGGTAGTCTACATCTACCAACATGACTCAGTCCACTTGTCAGTGACTTCATGGATTTCTGCCATGTTTTGGTTTGGCCGCCCCTAGCTTTCTTCCAACCTACTCCTACACCACAAAACATAGCTCGTCGAGGCAGTCGGTGGTTAGGCATACGTAACACATGTCCCAACCACCTCAACTGATGAAGTTTCACCACTTCATCGATTGTTCTGCCATCCTTACCTAGTACTCGTTTCCTAACGACAGCATTGCTTACTCGGCTGTCCCACGATAAACGAGCAATGCTTCTTAAAAATCTATGATCGAATACTAGTAACCTACGAACATCTTCTACTCTTAACGGCCATGTTTCACAGCCATATAAGAGAACGGAACGAACTGCTGCGCAGTACACCCGCCCTTTGGTTAGCGAACGGATATCACGCCTACGCCATAAGTGACGCAGGTTGGCAAAAGCCAATCGAGCTTTCTGTATCCGAGCTGAGATTTCGTCAGTCACCAGACCGTCAGCACTGATGAGACTCCCCAGATAAGTGAAGTGATCTACACGCTCGACTACTTCACTCCCTATCACTAGTTCAGGTGCCGATGCAATCCAGTCTTGAAGCAACATTTTGCATTTCGACGGGGAAAACCGCATCCCGAACATGCTCGCATTGTTGCTTATGGTAGTCAGAAGACTCTGCATTTTGTCAGCGTCTTCACCGAATAGAACTATGTCATCGGCATATTCTAGATCAGTAAGCGACTTTCCCGGTAGAAGGTCAACCCCTGAAAAATCTGACGAGGTTAATGTTAACTCTAAGAGGATGTCTACGACAAAGTTGAACAAGAATGGAGAGAGTGGACAGCCCTGACGGACACCACTTGATGTAGAGAATTCTGATGACAGTTCGCCATATGCTCTCACCCGACCAGTGGTGTTCGAGTAGAGTGCTTGTATAAGGTTAATGTACTTCTTTGGTACACCTTTCAATGACAGACACTGCCACAGAACCTCACGATCCACTGAGTCGAATGCCGCCTTAAGGTCCAAGAACACGACTATTGTCGGACGTCTAAATGTGTGTCTGTGTTCCAGGACCTGTCGTAGTGTGAAGATGTGGTCTATACAACCACGTCCAGGTCGAAAACCAGACTGGTTTTCTCGAGTCTGCTCTTCGCGAGCTCTAGTTAGACGTCTAAGTATAATCGAGGCTAACAATTTAGAAACTATGTTAGTTAAACTTATTCCCCTGTGATTGTCACAAGAGGACTTCTGTCCTTTCTTGTAGATTGGGACAATAAACGACTGAGACCAGTCAGATGGGATTACGTCCATTTCCCAGATTTTACCTAGGATCTCGGTCAGTTTAACCATTAAAACTGGACCACCATCCTTAAACATCTCAGGGGTAAGCCTATCAGGACCTGCCGCTCTACCTCCCCTTAGATTTCCTATAGCTTTCTCAACTT